GAGTGAGAATCCGAAACGTCAGGTCAATAAATTTCTCGTTCCTGTGATCACATCTTCATCTTCTGATGATCACAATTGAGCCGTTGTCCTCTCGTGCTTGTTCCGAACTGTGTTGGGAGAACTGTGATAATTCATAGTCAAGTGATGCCATTGGGGCGCTTACCACGGAAATTTCGCAGTCCACTGCAGGAGCTTTAAAGTTACCCGATCGCAGTGAGCCCCGTGTTTGCATCTCAATTGCAGTGAGCTCAGTAATTTCACGTCGGCGCTTCCATTCGGGTTGGAAGTCCGATAGCAAACGCATACGTTACGTCGGCAACCGTCTGGTTCTAATCTTGTATAAGGCAATTCCCAATTTAGTGATATTTGCATAGGATATTTCCCGTTCACAGCGGAAAACTTCATTTGATATATGAATTCCAACGCCTCCGCCACCGTGCTGCAATTCGCCACAGCGGATGATTTGGTGTCCAATACCGAACTCGCTGCTCTTATTTCGTCAGTCAGCTAGGTATCTGCTATTGTGCTTATATGGAGTTCCTGTTCAGAGACTTATTCTGAGCTCACCTTCCTTATTGAAGGAACATGCACTTAATGCATTAGATTTCTAGACAGCCACTGGTATTCGTGACAGCCACGAGATTCGGCATCACTATATCGGTTTGGCTGTCAATACTACAGTCGTCAAAGTAAATCCCCGTTCAGCTTAAACCTTTGGCCTACCTCTTAATCAGAGATCTGTTTCGCCAATTCTTCGATCCCTTATTTCCGTTTAGAGCTGTCTCTTTTTCATTCTTTTTGGTTCGTAATTCGGCTAAGAAACTTCAGCATGCACATTCGTTTCTAAGGGACTTAGTCGGGAATTTAGACGGGATGTTGGCTGAGTTTTCCCTATTCCACATGGTTTGCAAATGGTAAACAACTCATCGTCCCAAGCAAAGCTTCAGCATACTCCTGAAAGATGTTTAGGTCTCTGTACTATTGACGTTGACTCACGGACTCCTTTCATTACCACATTTTGCGGTCAAACTAAACGCTACGTAGCCATCCGTGAGTCGAAGGAAGAAGATCGAGATAAGACAACCATGTGAACCCTGCGTTGTTACTGCTGTGCTTTTACGCCCTAGAACTTTCTCGGGAGGTACTGAGGTCCTTATTAACGCAGAACCCCAAGCTTGGATGGCGTACCCTAGTCGTGGTCAGACAAACTTCCGGAAGACCAGAGATGCAGTTGTCATGAAAAGTAGAGAAAGCCCAGTTGACGAGGTATAGGGCTGGTATTACGAACTTGGCTATCTTTGAACAGTGTAACGATGGTTTACACGTAGTTGTGACCCACACATCAAGTCCCTCGTGTGGACCCACCTGAAGATTTGTGAAAGATGGTTTGCCTTTGCTCCGCTCTGACTGATTCCACTGTGTTTAGTAGTCTTCAGTAGAAGTATAGGATCCCTGTCTCGAGTGCTTTATCTTATAAACGTCTCAGCATCAAAACATCAACGTGTTCTGAGGAATAGTCGTCTTGCTAGGTTTCCCTCCGCTTCGCATGCATTTACGAACAAAGGGTTCCCCACAGCGGCCACCTTTTCCGATTCACTTTTCAAAGCTTGTGTCAGCCCCTTGGGTCTGTTGTTCAGCCTTTCCCGTGAAGGTAGGCGGTGGTTTCTGAGATGTGCAATAACTCAGCAGAACATTCTCGATTTTGGCTATTTAGCCGGAAGAAGCTGATTCGCAGTCTGCGCCTTCCAGTTCGGTCTTCGTATAATGGAAACCATCGCCCCGAATATCTCTAACCTTAGTGGCCTATCCGAGCACAAAGTCGTAAATATCTTCAGAGCGGTACACTGTGAATGCGTTGACCTAGAGACGGTAAACAGGTCACTTGATCAATGCTGTTAAGCGATTTCGTGTGCCTCAGATCCAGACAATTATACATTATGGACCCACGTAGGAAATAAGACGTGCGAAGTCAGGAATAATCTGGGCATCATGTCCTAAAAACGCCTCTCAAAGGCTGGTTCCGGACCAAATGCAAGTGCTAAACTATACCGGTGTACACGATTCGGCCGCGTTGAAAATGCCACGCCCAATAACAAGTCTTCCTAGCTACTCTTGCATACAGACATCAGACTCAATGTCATTTATGGTGGTAAGGAGATCATCAAGACTCCGAGGCCTTGTGATCTCGGCAACTTCATAGTGAGTTAGATAGTACAAATGTTGCATGATGACTTTTCTGCTTTCTCTGATACAATCAGTCTGATTTGCGTATTTGAGCACTCCTCTCTCTGGCGTCGTTCCTAACTCTTAAAAGCAAGTGAAATACGGGCAGTGCCAGTTTGCGGTCATTCATGTTTTCAGATGTCTTGAACACCAAAACACTATCGCCCGGCAATCAACGGCTTACCTTTATGTGGTCCGAATTGCCGCAAGGCCGTGCTAAACCCTGCAGATCATCCGGGGAATTTGCCTGTATCCTTTCCTGGTGTCCAACCTTGGCATCCGACGATACTAGTGTACGACTATTCTGCTCGACTGCCGAACTGTTGTTAGGCTGTCGGGAGGTGCTGTGCGTACAGTTCATCCTTAAATTCCTACCTATTCGCCTGTTTGTTTGGCGGTACACGTCTGACGGCCCAGTCTACTTGCATAAACTATTGACACACAGAAGACAGGATAATGACAGAATTCGGTTGTGATGGAAGCAACACGAACGATTAGAGTGCGGGTAGCATATAACTGGTCTTTGAGATCTGTAAACAGAGGTCGACAGAAGCCTGTTATAAACTGTAGCTGAGGTCGGGACTATTTTTCCGTGATGTAGGTTATGGAACTATTAGTCATGTTTGCTTATGTGTGCAATATAGATTTCATACTTTGCTTAGTGCTGCCCGACTGCTCTGCCAAAAACGACCACAGCTGCACTTACACACGCTAGGCGTCTCTAAAATAAACGGGAAATGTGTTCGCAGAGAATATGCCGTTTCGTTAATTAATTCCTGGGATAGTATCAGTTTTTAATAAAGCATACTTCCATCCCATGCACCCCACTGATCTGAAAACAGGATATAGTCAACAGTGTCCATGCAATCCTACAAAACTTGAATTCCCACGTAAATATTCAAACTGGATTTACAAAGTCGCCTTGAGTACTGCCCTTCGGCTCCATTCGAAATTTCCGATGGAAGGTTCGAATTAAACGGATATTTTTAACCTTAGAACGAAAATCTAGGGGGGCCACAACCTCAGAATTTAAAGAACTTGTTAATGAAACGGGTGTTAACTGATATTTTTTTGTTGGCTTGGAGTCTAGCCAACTGTGGCCGGTCTTGTTCTATGGAGCATTCACAAAAATAGAACGACAGAAATCAACATTTCAATGATGACATAGTGTCGAAAGAGTCAGTAAACCGATCGATAGCTAACGGGTCATAAGGCAGAAGGAGGCGTAAAAAGGGGTGGTATTGCACTTTCGTCTATCGTGAAAAAGACAACGCTGATGATCTGACAAAACTATTATTTCAGTAGGTAAAAAAACAGCCCACACATGCGCAAATACCAAAAGCCTGTAGTCACAGATCCCGAAAGTTGGATTACTCTGTCAAGTGTCCCCGACTCTGGAATTCCTGAGAAAAAGGACCGAAAGTTAGCCACCAGAAAAACAATGATATCACATACCATGCATTCCAAAAGTAGGCGGAACGGCAACTTTTTTTTGAGGCACTTGACACTGTCTCCGAAATCTTCCCCAAGACCCTTGACAGCCATGCGCATACTTCTTCTTCACGCTCCGAAGAATTCTCTGAAAGAGAGGACACTTCGTTAGCACGGTTTGGGCACACAGAGAAAATCGTCTAATTTAAACTAAGGCACGAACCAAATACCCAGAATAAACGGCGTGAATGCGACTTAATGCCGAAGATGAAAGTAGTACAGTTCATCCTGCAACCCATACATTGCATTCTAAATTTAGAGTAGACAGTCGCGCTAGTATCGATCCTCTAGAAAAAGAATCCCATAGACATTGAGTGTAGATAAGCTTCCGTCACTTAACTCGAGCTTTCAATGAGTCAAAATTGCAGGGGGCCATAACGTCTAGCATAGTCGGTGCCACCAAAAACGTCGGACAGTTGCTTCAGTTAGTACTTGGCCTGTATACACTAGTTTGTGACGGTAAGCATTGAACCACGGGATCATCAGGCTACCGAGGACCGGAACCTGTAGTACGGTGTATCGACGTCATCTCTGAGAGGCCGTACGTCACCGTCAGAAGATGTTATACCGGTGGGTACACACGGTGTTAACCTCTTTGTTGTGTCAATAAACGTGATGTGATGTATTAAGCAAACGAGAGCTTGGTGCAGACAGTCATTTCACTCCTTTTTTGTCGGCCTCAACTGCATATAAATGGCTCAAATGACCTGGCTGGGGCTTTAACTCCCATGGCTTATCGGCAAGACTTCATGGCAGGTGAGGGCGAGCCGTACTAACCGAAGAGGCGTGAAATGGTTCCCCGAACTATCATTTCTTGACCAGATCTTTGTCAAAACTAAGGTCCTTTATCAATGGATTTTGCATCTTAAATTTCCGATGCTAAATACCGACCCCCCGAAAACGGCAAACACTTCGTGATTCCCTTCATGGCTAGTTCAGAAAACTTGCGGACGTCCAATTTAGCCATAGCGAAAAAGACGTCTCACTTTTTCCTCTGCAACATATTCGGTAATAGAGACCTTCAAAGCCTACTTTGTAGCAAGCCACGTGTTGAACAGAAGGCACAAGGCAGACGGCTGGAAAGAGCACGTACTCTTAAGTTGCACGCTCAAATGCGTAACTTGTGTGAGTTTTTTTGAATTCGACGTCGTATCAGGGTCGAAATAGCAATATAAGACGGGTTAGGCAGAAAAACGAACAGTCAAATCGAAAAAAAAACAAACTCATAAGGGTTTTCATTGAGTTGTGGTCCGCAGTAACCCAGGAAAGTTGCTGTCGTAGTTCCGCGTTAACGGGTTGGACGACCTCGCTGTCGGATAAAAGAGCGGAAAGACGTTGTAGCAGCGCGTCGGTGATCTGTATTACGGAATGAAAGGCAATATGATGTGCCAAACACGTAGAAGGTAAGGTAACAAATTCCTGCAAATAGGACCTAACTGTCATGCATGAAAAATCGTGAAAACGCTCCATCGATACAATAAAGATGAGAACCAACTTTACTGTAATGGGTGTAGGAAGACGCAATGCAGTCCCCATGGCTCCACTTAAATTAGAATCGAAAGACTGCACAAAACGAAATCCTGGTCGAACAAATAAGTGGCGACATCAATCATCGCCCTAAGTGCTTTAGTTCAGTTGCTTTTGTTCCGGAGGGGGGCTTCCAAGTATCAGGAGTGTTCAAAGGAAACCGAAGTCTAGTACTTAGCCAAGCTGATTCACAAGACAATTCGTTGATGTGACAGGCTATGGCGATAACATCTAGAAATTTCACTGAAGAACACTCACAAAGACCAAAAAATTGCTTTTTATATCGACCTCGGAGCGGACTTCCTGCTACAGTTCACCTAACAAATAAGTATAAGCCAGCAAACGTGCGACGCGGATGAAGGACCACGGACTATAATTTCATTCAACTGACCTTGAACTAAATGTTGCAAAGAGGGCGACCTCCGGGAGAAGTTGGTAGAAGGCCAGTAGGAACGAAAAACTTGTGATCCGAGCCGCAGTCATATTACTCGGTCGTGGGGGCAGCTACCTTCGGAATTTTCACACCAAACACTGTCAGGACGTTGGATGAGGCCAAGCTAACCGTTGCAGGGGATGATCGAAAACTGGTGGTGACCAGATGAGTGGCAGGACAAGGTGGGACACTTTCTGAGTGTCGGCACTGAGCCAAACAAGGCGAAAGCGCTGGCCGCATTCTACGCGAGGCTCACTGCACAAACTGATACTGTCTAGTAGCCCGAGGTTAATAACCTCACCAGCTGGCCTCAAACGACCGAGATGTGGCCACGAAGTGGTGTGCACTGGTGTAATGGCTTACCCAAGATTGTTTTATGATGGCAGAACCACTTGCGACCTTTACTACGGTACTAGACGCCGATATCACAGAAAAAGTTAACTGTCCCTGGAATATCTTCTGCAAATAGCGACAAATTCGACTAAAATAGACTTTCGTCCAGCAGAGGAATATATACGCACGTAATAAAAGACAAACTCGTCGTGTTACGCACAGCAAGGATAACTAGTCGACATAACAACTGTGGGTTCTCAGACGCTGGAATCACTTCACCTTCCAAATAACAGGCGTAAGAGCAGCACAGAACAAGTCCGTCGCATCCCTGGCTTCCGTGAAAATGTCGCATGGCCGTTAAGGTTAATGTTGTGAAATTGTATAGGGTTGACTCGGAAAACTCCGGTCAGTTACTCTGTCACCTTACCCCGTCTAGTGTACTCGAAAGAATTAAAGAAGTTCGCGCCACAAGCCCTTATCCAGGGTCAGATAAGGCACTGCACTGTGCAATTAAGATACCGTAACGTGTGGCTATGCACCAACGTGAAAATTTTTTTTTCAACAAAAGTCACGAGCCCCTGCGATGCTGCGACACGGCGAATGTTGTTGGCCATCCAATGATGTTCAATTATGGCATAATCCTGAGAGGGATAAATGGGGAAGTCAACCTCCAGATTCATGTATTACGGGGAACTATCGAAGCCCCCCCTTTGTCCCGACAAAGTCACTGCGCACAATAACTGCCCAGCGAGCCAGGGCTTAACGAAGTTTATGGGCGTTCAAAATGACCATATTCCACCTTTTCTGGTTTGGCCTGGCGAGGGCAGTTTTCTATCCGACAACAACCAGGATCGGCTAGCAAAGGGTTCGGTTGCAACAGTTCAAAAGGACAAAAAAACCACTTTCGGCCTGGGTGTTCACGGGAACTGTCTAAATACCCAGTAAATAATCATATCTGCTAGGAAGAACCAACAATGGAAAATGCAATATTAGTGGCGGCGCAGGAAGCCCAAAGGCCTCCCGAAGTCGGATGAGTCGGAAGTGATACCAATCGCATATGCGCACACATGGGCTGGGATTTATACTACCCACTCACTGCGGGAAGTAACAAGCGCTAACACGGTAAAGATTTGATGTCCACAGAGGATAGTAACGATCGGCAAAGAACGTCTGCCTGGTACCGTCGTTATATCAACCCAGCCTAGTTGTCCACAACAAGGAACAAGATATGCTGCAAATAAAATAGACGAAAACAAGGACTCATAAAAGGTCCTCCATCGTCAGGGAAACAAGAACGAATCAGTTGCACCATGTGGAAATATGGTCAATATCTTTTTCGCAAATAAACAGAGATCATCGGAAAAAAGACTCCAGATTTCGCCAAAGAAACGTACGAAGGGCAATGAGTTTAAATTCACTAATTCACATGTTTTCCTCAGAAGCGCAGTGTCAGCCGGGGTATCGGATTCCGGCGCAGAGGGCCTAGGAGGGGACAAATGTTAGTTTGAGAACATAAAAGAGATGCGTTACCTTTCATTGGAATTCGCACGAACTGTTTGGACGAACTGTTGACAAGGGTCAAAATGATCGGACATCTGAGAGCTTAAGACTGCCTTGGCGCTGTGCTCTAGAGCGTCGACAGAGCGCACGGCGGCAGCGTGCTCTTCGCATGCCTGATGAGCGAAATTGCGGAAGTATATTTAGAAGAAAGGAGAATCACACGCGTTCGAATCGTATAAAGACTAGATCTTGGCATGTTGTATAAAGTGGCAAGGACGGGGTTTTGAAGGCTCGAGATAAACAGGACGACACCGGAATTATAATAAGAATACACCAATGATGTGCGTGATAACAACCGTGGAGTGGACTAGAAAAGTACATTAATTGTGCGGCTGAGGATACAGAAGACTTACACAAAAATTCAATGGGTAAAATGTTGGGCGCAACAATCAATTTTTGAGAGGGAAACTAGTGGGGGAGCATGAATAACATCCAAAAACACCTCTCAACCGTCATATTTTTGGTCGTTCCGTCAACAAGCATCGGTCAGGTCCGGCCTGCCTGCCGCGTTCGATAAAGTTGCGAGGACACTCGTTGGTCATGAAGAGGCGCTGGAGGTAGCGTGGTTCTGACCTTCGCGGCAGGCAGAGCGGACCAAACAGACGTTTGGTGACAGAACGGCCAAAATATGGCGGGCGCTTCCATACATCGACGGCGTTTCTGAGGCCGTCTCGCGTCTCTCAAGACCGCTGGGGATCGGCATCGCCCAACGACCGGAGTCAACAATTCGACATCTGGTCATGAGACCTATGGCTCCTCTGCCACGAGGTGAAACCACGAAAGTCATCTACCGGATTCAGTGTAACTCCTGCGAAGTTAACTACATTGAGGAGACCGGCAAACGACTACAGACCCACATTGGATAAGTCATGAGGACAGTAAGGCGAATGGACCCTTTGCCTATTGTGGCAGAACACTGCGCCGATACCTACCAATGTGCCGAAATCCTGGGCCAAGGAAAAGACCGCATAGCCAGAGAAACCATCGAGGCCTAGCACACGGGGACAACCTCCATCAACCATTGTGTGGCTCTTCCCGCGGCCTACCAAGCCCTCCGCGCGCAGCTCAGTGAACAAATGAGCAGACGTGAACGCAGGCTAAGCAAGAATACAAACATGAGCGAGTGCATGGCGGATACACACTTAGCCGTCCCGCAACGCAGGTCCGACGAAGGCCCAGTCGTCACAACAGCCGTTTCATCCACTAGTCCGGCAGACGAGAAGACAGACAGTTGTTGCGGCGTAAACAAGATTCCCAGCCCTGGGCGACAGCTAAGGTTAATGAAGGTACGAACGACGGCCGCCAACGTCTCAACGCCGCCCCCCGATGTAGACTGAGTATACTCCGTCACCATCCCTCCCCTCATCTGCAACAGTCCGTGTACATGCGGCTGGTGACCACTAAGGCTGATAAAACACTCCCTCACCCAGCGACGAGCCGCTATAGGACTCCCTCACGGCCCTTTCCTCCATGCCACCCTGACTTCATATGTAAAACACCAGTCTTGACATGACCGTGACCAACCTATGAATAACTATGAATATCCCATAATCTGACGGGCTGACCAGCTGCCATTGCACGTGGGAATCGCGGTCGGCTGTTTGGGCGCGTCGGTGGGTCGATGTCTCGCGTCGGTCGACTGACCCCCGGCTGACTCTCCCCCTGCTGTGAAGGTGACAACCGTTGAGAGAGCCACGAATTGCTTGCCAGTGTTGTCGGGCCCGTCCGAACTGACTGGAGCCTCGTACGAGGCGCCTTGTAGGCCGGATGAAGATCAATGACTTTGTTGATTGTGTCGACTGAGGACCAACTTTCGAGAACAAGTCTGGCCATATTGTCGCTGGCTTGGCCGATGACGCTTGCCTCCCCAAAGGCGAAACTGTGCTTCTCCTGCTGTATGTGGCCATATACCAGTGACAGCTTATCCTCGCGGTTGACTGCAAGCTGGTGCTCGCGCAATCTTGTGAAGAGGCATTTGCCCGTTTCACCAACATACCTTGCACTGCAATCTTGGCAAGGTATGCTGTAGACCACTGCTGACTGTTCCGTTGCAGGTAGCTGGTCTTTGGGCCTCATTATCTGTTGCCTGATAGTGGATCCCGGTTTATGGGCCACTCCAATCCCAAAAGGGCTCAGGATTCTTGCTGTCGCCTCAGAAACATTCCTCATGTAGGGGATTGCGAGCCAGAACTTCGGCTTCTCATCGTCATATCGTTCGCGGTTAAATCCTCTTCGGCAATCACGTATGAACGATCGTGGGTAACCATTGGCTGTGAATAGGGAATGTAGGTACTCCACTTCCTCCCTTCTCCCGTCGTTGTCATTACAGTGTGTTTGAACTCGTTGGAAAAGAACTCTGACACAACTGCGTTTGTAACTAAAGGGGTGGTTACTCCGGAATTGGAGGATGCGTGTATTATTCGTTGCCTTTCGGTATACCGTAGTTCTGATCCCCCCATTAGCCATCCTTGTGACGTTTACGTCAAGGAAGGGCAACTGGTTGTTGTCCTCCTCTTCCATTGTGAATTGGATGTCGGGGAATATTGAGTTCAACAAGACATTGAAGTCCTGAACGTCGTTCCTCTTGATTACGACAAATGTGTCGTCGACGTATCTGGCCCAGAATATAGCAGCGAGAAGGGACGACAAAGAATGCGGATAGATACAGTACTATTTCGGGCTTATTGTGCTTCATTGAGCTAATCATAACCCTGACCAACAGCTGGGACCAGAAACACAAACATGCGCACAGACGCGCCACTGGGATCTATCAGATGGGTCATAAGCACTTCATCGAACCGAACTTCATCAGTGCCTCGCACCCTGTCATTCTCTGCCGCTGCAGATCGGGTATTTATTCAATCAGGAAAGGGCGCACACCGATCTATAGGCTTCACGAAGCAAACAAGCTCCGTATGCATGGCAAAGGTCACGAACTGGCAACCAATTACCAAGCCGAAGTTGGCCAAGTCATAATAGCAGCGAGGAGGGACGACAGAGAATACGGACAGATTGACACAGTACTGTTTCGGGCTTATTGGGCCTTTAGTCTTGTCATTGGAAAATAATAACCTACAAAACGACGTTTAGGAGCCCAATTGTCTTTCTTGACAAAATCGAAATATCTAACTCAGTGCTTCAGTAAACGCCGGAGAGGCCAGTGTTTCTGACTACCCCTATAAAATAGAAGAGAAGACTACTGCAAAGGTACGTGTAGGTACTCTGTATTACCTGGAGTCTTGCTGAGCCAATTTTAGAACGAAGAAGGAGGCACTCGGCCTTGAGTGTGGAGATGCGTTCTTTTAGCTTCTCCTAAAAACAAAAATGACTTGACTCTGAGCTCTCAGAGAGGCAGGAAGAAAACAGAACCTACGATATGCCACACACACCACGCAAGAACCTGTCCTCCAAGATCTACCATAAGCACGATATCGGCACCTTTTACACGAGTGGGAGGCATGCTCTTCGACCCCTCTATGTGACCCCTCTGCTACTCGAACGCATGTGAGATTCGAGCAGTCCACCTCTTTGTGCGAAATCCTGGTGTGCTGTGTGAGAATAGAGAGATCGACTCTCTCAACACATATTCCTAAGTATAAACAATTTGATTGGCTTGAACTTACCACAGTGACTGAAAGCCGTGGCTCGGAAAGCTGCCGACTGATGGGGTAACTCGGTTCTTTTCTCAGGCGGCGAGTCAGACCGCAATGACCCCTTCTTAATGTGGTCCGTATGGCAAACCTACTTAGTTGGAATCCGACCCGTCTTCCCTTATTCTTGCTGCGTGAAGTTCTGGTCCTTCGTGTGCAGAACAAGGGGTGTAATGACGCGCCTAGGTGCTGGCCCACGCCACACCGATTACCTGCGTCCGATCCTGCCTCCGGTCTTTTTGACTCTGTCCTGACGCCGGGCGGCATTGCCACTAAAAACTAATTCACGCACAATTCGCCCTCCTTGCTGAGTCACACGGCGGACATCGACGGAAAGGGCGGTCGGACCGACAGGTTGACGCCAATACTGCACCGCTGTTCTCAAATTGGCGAGTTTTCTGTTAATTTGCAATCCCGGCTTTTGGTAGGTACTTCCTCGCATTGGAGGTAGATTGGTTCATCCACCAGTGGTTTTTGACCTTGTGAGGGCAACCAGCCTTGTCCGACAAGACTTTACAGTACCCCTTGTCAGTCAGTAGTACCACCATGGTCATGTCAGTTTTGGTTCTACAAATAGATCGTTCCGCTCAGAGGAGGATAACACACCCTGTACGGCATCAACAGGTACGTTCATTTTGGTCGAAGTAGGTAGGATATCACTGTCTGTCAGCTGAGTTTGGTCTTTTCGAAGGCCGAGTCTGTATCCGCGGTGTTGAAACATGCTTCATGTCGTAGCATTGAACGGTTCCGCTGTTTGTCGTCCAAATATCGGAGCGCAGACCAGAATTTTGTCCTCCTATGGTCAACCCTGTGACTACCTTGGTCGACCTTATGAGTCTAAGCACCCTATACGGCAGAAAGTTACCACACTGGTTATGCTACACAGCTCGAGTGTCATCACATACAGATCGAAATAGCCTGCTCCCAAAACGATGAAGACTGACAGGATCGTGATGATACTGAGAAAAGACGAAAGGCGGCCTACAGTCGTATTGGACAAAGCCGATTACTTTCGGAAGGTTAACAGCGTATTGGAGAATAAAGAAATCCGCAAATGCTGAGGTTGTAACTCATAACAGCGTTTAATCAGCCACATCAGAACGGTCAATCGTTAGATTGACAGATAATCAAAGTAATGAGAGGTAAGCATGACAATGTCCACGGGAATTCGGCACATTGGCCAGGCCAACTCAAGAAAAATTGTGTTTGTATGTCTAGACAGCTCGGGTTAGGCCCCACAACGATGATTCCTTCAGCCAACACCGGAAATGAGAGCGAAGTCAGCTAAAGATGAGTGTTAAAACCACAGGGATGAAGTGACAACCTTCATAGGGAACGCCTTAAAAGTCGTTGGCACTCGAGAACTCTGCCAAATGTCTCGCTAGGTTAGCGGTAGACCCTCCACATTGAGTGATTGGGGTGTAGAATTGTGTATTTGTGGGTTCCACGTGATCTTAGCAGGTCACATGATTTGTGTCGTTCAGGTGATGACTGTGCTTTACGTCCATCAACTGGCACCAAACTCTCATATGTGGCTCCTCGAACCTAGGCTCTGCCCAGCAGCAACACCCGAACGACCGCCTAGACCGACAGGCAAAACCACGCGAGAGTATCATGAGGTGCTGTGTGTCTCCACACTCGGAATGTCCGCTTCCCTCCCCATCCCCCCTTTCTCCAACCTACTTCAAAAGTTCTGCGGAGAAGACGACATGCAATCCCGTAGACGGCCCAGACTAACTCGAGTTGATCTTCCACTAAATCAAGTCGTAATCTAAAGTGGAGTTCGACAGGTGTCAGAGATGTTTAAGCAGCCCTACTTATGGACGTGGCTACTTACCCCCTCGCGAGAGAATGAGCTAGAAAAGATGCCTCACTCTAGCAGCCTGCAATGTTCGTTCTCTCTTAGACAACCCGAGGAGCAACCCATTGGAACGGAGGACGGGGCTAGTCATTAAAGACTGACACGTTACGAGGTAGGTATCACTGCCCTCAGTAGGGACCGGTTCTCTAAACAAGACCAACTAGAGGTGGGCGCCGGCCGCACCTTCTCCTGAAGCGGCCGCCCAAAGATCTAGTGACACGACGCTGGCATTGCCTTTGCCATTTGGAATGAGATCGTAAGACGACTACCCTACCTGGCGCAGGGCGTCGCGAGTCATCGGACCGACGCCAACAGAAATCTTCCGCTATCGTCACATCGTGCAGCGGCGCCTGAATGGGATGCAAGACGCCTAGATAACTTACAAAACCCAGGAAATTCAGGGGTATGCTGACCGCAATGAAACCAGAACCTTCATATCACTCAAGGCAGTCCACAGCCCCCAACCAAAGCAACCAAACCGTTCCTCAGTTCCGATGAAACAAAGCTTCTGACGGAGAAATCCGGATTCTGAAGCGATGGGCCGGGCACTTCAGAAGTATTCCTAATCGCCCACATACAACCCCCGAAGCCGCCATCGACCGACTACCCCGAGTGGAAACGAACGACTTGGATCTGCCGCCTTCTTTCTCAGAAGCAATCCAAGTCGTGCACGAGTCCTCCAATGGGAAAGCACAGGAATCCAACGCGATTCCGGCCGGCGTTTACAAGCACAGTGGTGCCTGGCTGATGGACCAACTCAACGCTATTTTAGGGGATGTGGCGCCAAGGACAAGTTCCTCCGGACTTCAAGGATAAGACACTCGCCCATCTCTACAAACGGAAAGAGAACCGACAACTCTGTGATAATCGCAGAGTAATCTTGCTGCTCAAAATCGTCGGGAAGGCCTTCGCTCGTATCCTTCTCAACCGTCTCAACGACCATCTCCAACAGAAACTTCTGCCGGCAGGTCAGTGCGGATCCCGACGACACCGCGGAGCCCCCGACATGATCTTTGCCGCCCGCCAACTGCAAGAGAAGTGTCAGGAAATACGGATCCACGTCTACATTACTTTCGCGGACACGACGAAAATCTTCGGCTGTCCTGAACGATTCACGAGCATGGTGCGTCAGCTCCACGACGGGGTGATGGCGCTCATCGCGGACAATGTGGCCGTTTCAGAAGCATTTGCGGTAACTATCGGAGCGACGCTACAACCCTCTTCGATCTCATGTGCTCAGCCATGCTGACGGACGCACACGGTGATGGGTGCCCCGAGATCTACATCGCTCACAGAACTGACGGGCGTCTCCTCAACAGCCGGTGCATGCGGGTCTTAACGCGTATCTGTACGACTACCATCCACGATCTGCTCTTAGCTGACGACTGCGTACTAAACACCGGGACAGGAGTTTACATGTAACGGAGCATGGAACTCTTCGCCGCCGAATGCGTCCACTTCGGGCTGGCCAGCAACCGGGACAAGAAGGGTGGTCATGCGTCAATCGTCACTCAACGTTGCATGCAGTGCTCCTCGTATCCACTTCAACGGCACCTAAACGAAGACTGTGGACACTCACGCTGCATCAAAATCGATGACAAAGTGGTCAACCGGATCTCCGAAGCCAGCCAAGCCTCCGGCCGGCTACAGTACTCCCTATAGAATGGCCACCGTCTCCACCCTAACACAAGACTGAGGACGTACAAGACGGTCGGCCTAAAGACGCTTCTGTGCGGCGCGGGGACCTGGATGGTCAAAGAGAAACACCTTCACCTCACTTGTCTCCGTCGGATAGTAAAGCTGAAGTGGCATGAGAGGATCCCGGACAGAGAAGTTCTGGGACGGACTGGAATCCTCAGCATCCACGCCGCGCAATGGAAAATGCAACCACGATGGAGCGACTACCTTTTGAGGATGGAAGACAAGAGTCTACCAAAACTGCATAGGTGCTCGCCGAGAAGGTCCAACCCGCCGCTACAAGGACATCTTGGGGAATTTCTCGGAGCTACTACAAATCAACCCAAAGACTCTGAAAGAACACACACAGGAACAAACGGCCTGGAAAAGGGCAGTTAGGACTGGAGCAGTCATCTACGAAACCAAAGCCAAAAGCGAAGCTAGCAAGGCTTAAGCGCACCTGACCTGCAACGCCCACCCCCAACTACTGCCAACATGCCCGCGCTATCAATAAACATTCCGCGCGACTATCGGTCCCTGACAGCGGACTCAATGCACCAGCTCGGTAATCCCAATCACTGCCTCTCCAACAGCCCCTGCCCCAACCCCCACGGTATCTACTACGACGACCGCCCTCACCACCAATGCTCAACATTCCCGTGCCCGCCGCAGCCGATTACCGCCATCTCCATCATCCCTGACACACCCTCCGCAGCGACTACGGAAACCACCACGGCTCCCACCACCGAACGAAACGCTGCCGACGGCCGCTGACCGATAGTTCGACCGTCGTGCCCGACGATGTCCACAGTGTGCTCCACAACAAGGTGGAGCAGGGACGGTGACTTGCGAATGAATTAGTTTATAGTGGGAGTGGACTTGCGCAGCATCTACCGTACTCTCTCCTCCACCACCTGGGTCCGGCGCAATCAGAGTCAAGGAGATCGGAGCCAGGATAGGGCGCAGGGTAACGGCTAGATCAGGCATGATCGCAGCCGTACCAAGTAAAAGTAAGTGCATTTATAGAAACCTGCGGCAGACATGACCACATCAAAACATACTCTCCCACCAACACATGCACCACGCACGAACACCAACGTACCGCATCCCCGTCAACTCTCATGAGTGCGAAATGTGCTCTCCGGTTCCTTTCTCCATGCAGCTCTTCTGCTGCAGCTGAGATTCCGACATTCTACTCCCTTGTGTGAAATCCCGGTGTGTGCGCAGCGCGCGCAGACTAATTACTCTCAGCCCTATCAGTCAGTCCCCGCATCGGACATTTGGCCCGCTCGGACGGTGGACCGATGCCTGGGAGTGGGAACAGAGAGTAAGGTCGACAGTCTCAGCGCATATTACTCACTACAAATAATCTGACGCGCTTGAATTTATCACGGTACGCTAAAAGCCGTGACTTGGAAGGCTGCCAAGTGTGTACTTGTGTGAAGTAACCGACTGGTGAACTGAGAGTCAGGCTTCGAAGGTTTCTTTGCGTGGTACTCCAACCAAGTGGGATCAGAGCCACCACCCTTATTTTCTGTTGTTCAAAATCCTAGTCAGTGTATTTTGTGGACCAGTGGGTGTGGCGGCATGCCTAGGCGCAGGTTTACAGCGTGTCAGCTACCTGTGTGCGATCTCGCCTCCAGTCTTGAATCTTTTGACACAAGGTCCATGTGGAGGAGGGGAGAGCGCGGCAGATGCAGCGCAAGTCTACTGCCATTCTAAAGTAACTCACACGCAAGCCACCGTCCCTGCTCACACCGTGCTATGAAGCACACAATTGACATCGTCGGCAACGACGGTCGAACTGTACACTGAGTGACTGACCGCGATGTGGCGGATTTGCAGCAGAAAACTGGGTCAGGGTCGAACGCCGACGTGAGCACTTGGAGCAAGTACTCAACTTTAATGACTAACTAATCATAATCACATCTCTCCCATAGCGGCCGAGGTGTATTTCTCTACAGCCTATTCGGAACACTGTGGTCCTACTTGTCTGTAATAAATCGTCGTGGTCTGCAGACCAAAGGTCTAAACAACGGTTACGCGTTTCGGCACTGAAGTACTTGACTCCAGATCTGCTGCCGCGGATCGTCACACGTGGAGAGGTACAGTTCGTGACATCATCGAGGCCGACTAGATCAGGCATGATCACAGCCGTATCATGACAAGACACGAAGACTTGACTCCGGCGGATGAAAATGCGGCGTAAATGGGGTTCAGAATTTTACTCCTTAACAATAAATATAGTCGTCCCAGCGTTTGCTGTCAGTTATATCTGGCCGACCAAGACAGACGGCAAAGCTCTAGAGTCTGCGGACAACTACTAACATGGGCTGAACCACTTATCGAAAGGGCAGTGTAAGAGAAAGGTCAACCCTCCGATCGACCAGGCGCCTGAAAATGGTCCGAGTTTACTGAAAACTCCGGGGCCAGTATGACATTAGTTTAATGAGCAAGGTGCGCGCATACATGATACTCATCAAGATAATCCTTCTGCAAAAATGTAAAGTATGATCAAGGCATTAAGATATTCTCCGCCTGGAGATATTCAATCGATGGTGCTTGCGCTTAATTCATAGGATTCGGCTCTGACCGCGTTTCGAACGAAGAGCTATATAGTCGCCCATGGACGGAGGCGATCAACGGTGCTCTTTTGCTGGCTGAAATGACGTAGTCATATGCTGCGCTGATTTCATTCTACTCCTGCAAGATTGCAGGTCACAAAAACATTATCACACATTGTAGATTTTACCCGCCATGTGATAAGGCTTCTTTAAGTGGAGTGACATTACAGAAGATGGCGACACGCATGAATCGCGCAAGGCCCATTTGTGTCGTATTGGGGGAAATCTCTGCGAGCACTCCCGACTCAAGCAGTTCACCCAGGAGCCGGCCAAACCAGCATTATAGCTAGCCAAAACAAGCATACGCGCAACGATGTTCGAAGTCTGGCGCATGGGTGAGATAGCTTAAATGTTTTGTGGTCCTTTCCAGAGGATACTAAGCCCGCTTTCACCCAAATCAACAGAACCCCTGAAGATAAAAGGCAACAGCAAATTCAACATGTGCCCATTTGGGCTTTAGTAACGCGGCGATCGATAGTTGCAATTTCCTTTCTCTCATTCAACGTCACTTCGGATCAAGAGAGTATTTCGTGTTGCGATGAATGTGCCCATTTCTCCCAACGGGGCTTCGACAGCTGGCTTCGGTGTCAGCCATGAGCCACGTGACCAGCACCCTTAGAAATTGTAAGGTCTTCTACTAAGGTTGTCTCTAACAATGGAGGCTTGTGCGTTGTCATAACGTCAAGGCAACAATCAAACAGTCGATGATTGCGTAACATTAAAGGAGAATTCCACGGCACGCAAGAGAGTACGGCTTAGTCACCGACATTTTTAAAACTAATCGGACTTACGGCACACTTCCTTTTCGGCTAGACCTCAAATATAAGAGCCTACGCACGACGATGAAATCCTCTAAAAGAAACCACACTTGAGCGACTAGGTACGCGGATTCCCTCAAAACACATTATTTCGGATTGCTCACGGCCCATACCGCGCTGATACTGTGGAGACCTACACTATGATTTCGATCCTGATATTTTTTTCAACAATAACGCCCGGCTACTCAGTGGGAATTTCTGCAAGTTCCCCGTGTCGTGTGCCAATCCACGTGGTCTACAAGTGCATTTCGGTTGCGTCAATTATCAGTGGGAAAGCCAATCTGACTCAAGGCATGAATGAACGAGCTATCATTTCTCACCATCTAAAGTCGTAAATAAGAGCATGATATGAGAGTTAGGCCACATTAAAATGGCAGTCCACTTAATGGAAGAAGTGCTAGGACAGATACGGACCACTTAAATATATCATAACTAGAAACTATAATGAGCACCTCACACCGTAATTCGTCCACTTAATTCGCCCCACTACGGGACGTAACAGTTCGACCTTAGGTGTTTTATACTAGACGCAAAAAGAGGTCATGGACATTACCATCTCCTTCTTGTAGGACGACCACGAGATAGACTCGTCCTCGATTTGGTGTCTGAGCTGGGAGGACTGGTAGTCCATATGACGAAGACGAATTAAGTTATCCTCCAGAAAAAGTAGTTCCCTTTCAGCTGCGAAGCTTCTGGCAACCGAAAGGGCGTCTAGGTTGCGTGATTGATAATTTTTGCATAGTCTTTCCTAGAAAAATGTCTTCCAAATTAAGAAGGTACCAAAAGCAGCTTCCGTTGGTTTTCTAGACCTTGGATGCGCCGGATTTGCTCATCAATACGCAAATGCCTCAGAATATGCTCAGTTCGCCCCTCCTTAGAGAGGGGAAAGAGTCAAAATATAAATATATTACCAAAATCATGTCCGTCTCGACGTCACCATAGGTGCTACAGTCTGGAACAAATGAAAATATATTTATACCTTCGAAGGGAATCGCCCTTGGACTGACTGGAATTCTTATCAGAGGCAGTTGATGCATGCAACCTGTCGACAGGTCGGAATGGGCCTAGATACATGAGACTAAAAACAAAGGCTATAAGATGAATGTGAGGAACTCTTTGATCAATCTGTCCGTTTCTTTCCCTGACGGACTTCGGACCACAGAATCAACCTTCAAATGTTAATAGAACGAAACAGCCTACAAGATCTTCAAGACGGGATGAAATTGCGTTGTGGGGATCACTAAGTAGGGGATATTAAAAGACTGTCACATACTTTTCATTGAATCTGTTCTGTGTTAGTGGTCTTAAAGAATTGATTTTATCATCCGAATCAAGTGCAAGAGCCCTGAGGTCATCAACAAAAGACTTGGAGAGACGGCAACAAGCCTCTTCATAAAGCATGTGCAGCTGCCCAAACAAAAACCGCGCACTGCGCAATTAGAATCTATACCTGCGCGGGCAATAGACAGCCCAGATAAATGCTGCGCAATTTGACTGATGGTTTTTGATGTTGGTTGTTGAATGGCGGTTTACTTATAGGCATGACAAGCATATGCCTACGGTGACCGTCGGCGGTTATTTCTGACAACTAAAACTCATCCACGGAACAAATTAAAGTTCTCCGTAAATCAGAAGGTACAACGGGCAGTTCAACGCGGCAGGAGTCGCACTTTATATGGTTGATAGCTTAGGTGAATGGGTTTGAAATTTAAGTCGCAGAGAATAAAATACAACGAAATTATTTGGACTACAGAATATCTTATTTCCTTCAATATCCCACTTAATAGTCTTTGACACTTACCGTTCGGCCAGGGATATTTTGTACAGACATAATAATTCTGCCGGAAATTATGTTCCGGGCAACACAGCGCACCAGTTCATTTTACTGCTTCTAATTGTTTGTTAAATTTCGCAATAAATGTCTGTAAAGGCCAAGTCGATTATTTTTACACTGCTTGTTGCGATGCTCACATTCAGATATTTATCAGTTTGTAAACTAGGATTAAATGGAAACTCCCACCAAAATTTCCATTCTCTGAATTTTGGTAAACCCTATACAGAACCACTTTCCGCATATATTCGTGTTGTAGGACAGACGGTATCGCTGTAATTTTCCCTTTCTTCTGTTGCGACTAGGCGGAGATTTTGTGTGTAAACTTAGTGAGCATATTGATGGGTTAATTGTGTACGGAACCTGAGGTTGACCTCTCAGGCGGCAGTGGCCGCCGACAAAGTCAGGGCTAACGTTGACTGCGTCCATTCATGCTGGAAAGTCTTTGGGACAGTGGCGGTAGCCGCTTTTTTAGGCCTGTGGGACAAGCTCAAGTGGTTTCCAGTCGGTGTGTGTAAAATTTGTCAAGGGGTGGTGTCCCAGTGGCCCAGGCGGTGGTTGCAGGAGTGAGGGACGTTTCATTGACCGCATGGCGGCTGCGATTGTGTGAGCCCAGACTTTCGAGCTTAAGTCAGTCGAGTGGATTCAGGTCAGAGAGCCTAGGTTAAGGGTGAGACCCTGGCCACCACGACCTTCAAATGAAACTGAGTGTCCAAGAGGTGCTATAATGAACCTTTTCTATTCAGGTCCGGTCCCGAATGGAAAGAGAAGATGAACATCAAGCAGAAGGTTTTTCTATTTTGTACGGAATACCTGCAAGAGGAGTTGAAGAGAGTTAGCTGCCA